CGATCCAACAACTTCGTCAGTGGAAATAATATGACAATTTTGACTTCGACTGTGTTCCAACAGACTCAAATGTTTTTAATTCCGTAAATTATGGTGGTACGTAATTAATATTGTAATAAAATGTGCGTATTTTTTGTGATCATTTATGTTTCTTCATTGTGAAAATCAATGATGATGCAACTAATTTAGTAATTTGATTTTTCCTCAAAATCGTAATCTGTCACTTGATGAATCAAAATTTTCATTTGCACTCTTTTTCGAGGGGGGTGCTCGGGTAAGCGCCCACCTCTACAAAATCGTGATTTTCTGAGTTGAGGCCCCTGGGCGCTAACGCGGTCGAGTACGGTACTTTATTTCAGGATAAGAGTAAATATGAAAATATTCAGGAGACACTTAAAAAACTTGTTTAAAATTATATGTTTCTAAAAGAGATTTGGAATTTAGAAAACAAATGGATACTTAAGTTTAGGATTAATTTTACAATTCTGTTATTGCTATTATTCAGTATCACATAAAATTGATACATCAAAATTTGTAATGTAATTATACTTTCACATACCTCTAGTGCTAGGAACATTTTATATACAACCCTAATTAATTATTTTTAAATTTTTTACTGCAATTCTATAAGCATAAATGTTAGTACAAACTGTACAAAATAGAGATACTTTAACTTCCACAGTGCATTCTATTTTTTAATCTCATCTAGCTTCAGAGAGTCAGCAATAAGCGACTTTTAAAAATGTCTTGTGATCTATCAGTTAATGTTGGAATATAGGTTATTGGTACTGATATTTAATTCTGCTATGCCCACAAGATTGTGACATAGAACAGAGAATGAGATACTGATATACAGATAACACACATGAAGTTACAAGTAGATATGCTAACACATTGAAATGGGGACTCAAAATTGCCAACTCACATTTGTAAATATGCCATATATTACCATTTTTTTACTCTGTTCAAAGAACGGAAGAAAGCAATTACCTGTAATAACTGCTGTATGATTATCTCCACAAGAAACATATTTACATTTATGTTCACTAAGGCGAGCAACTTTCTGTGGTAGACTCAATTGTAGTAATGATGGACCATTTCCTAGCTGGCCATGCATACCATCACCAAATGTATATAAATTACCAACATCTGAAAAGAAACAATGCTTTACTATAGATGTAAAAGAAATGCTTGAATCAAAAGTATAATTGAAATGACTTATGAACCATTATGATCACTGTCATTTTTAATTACAAATGGTGGTAAGTTTTAATTACACATTGATAGTGATTTGTATATTGATGATGATTTTTAATTGCACATTGATTTAGATTTTCTGTGTTGATTTTACTACTATAAATTAACTTTGTGTTGGTTTTCTTACCTGATATGACAGCAGTATGGGCACCACCACATGCCACCAATTTAATTTTTTCTGTTATAGATTCTACATGCTTTGGTGTTGTGGTGTCTTCTAACTGGTCTTCTGTTAAACCTAGTTTACCAAATTCTTTTTCACCAAAGGTATAAAGTTTACCATCATCTATAAAGTACAACAACATATTTATTTGTACAAAGTATTTTTTATTGATTCTATTCATTAACATCTTTGGGCAAAAAATGTATCCCAAAATTAATGTCACAATTAATTAGTCAGAGTTTCATTGAAAAACGTGACAATGAAAAGGTATGGTATTTTCATCAGTTGGTTTTAAATGACAAAGATTGCAGAATGACTGTGACACACATAACTATAGCTGTATCTTAGTAAGTATTTACATGAAACCCACCTACAGGACCCCCATATATGGGACCATATGACACCCATTCACAGAACACTCACCCACAGGACACCAACCCATAGGACAACAAAACAAAAACAGGACAGTAATATGCACCCACCCACATGAGTACCAAAACACTGGAGAATGAGTATGCACATACCTGTAACTATAGCTGTATGGTAGTACCCACAGGAAACCCAGCTTACTGAAGAATGAAATTTAAGTTCTTTTGGCGTTTCTACACTATCGGTATTACCTAATCCTAACTGCCCTTCAGAACCACTACCCCACATGTACAGAGTACCATCAGCTGAAAGAAAAAAACACAAAATAGTGTGTAATTATAAAGATCGCTACACAATCATTGCTGTTTTTTTGGCCTTCAACTATCCTAGACAAAGAGTATGGAAGTTATCCACTTGGTTTTACATTAAATCACTTGCTTTTGTGGCATGGAATTATCTCTGCTCTCTCAGAAAAATTTAAAACGTCATCAATTTTTATAGGGCCTGAACTATCAAAGGGCATTATTAAAGACGACGAATTTTACTATTTGAGAAATTGCCAAACAAAAATGATTCGTAAATATATAGCTTCTAAATATTTCATTCCCCAAAAAGCATACTCTGTATCAAACAGTTTCTTAACATTACAGAAATGGAGTTGAATTTTTGTTATCTGATGCCTTTTTTAGTTACAGCTGAAATTAAGCTCCAAGAGGTTCAATGGAAATTATGTCATAATGTATACAAAAAACGCTCTCAGTCGAATAAACCCTTCTAAGGCTCAAAGTACTCTGTGCACTTTTGTATATTGTGAATGCACACAAGCAATTTGGAACACTATTTAACATATATGGGCTACAGCACTCAATTATCAAAACAAATTGACAGAAATATAAGCAATAAATATAAGCAATAATAATAAGCAATTTAGTCACATAATGAATCATGTGATAATTATTGTGAAGAAAATTATTTACGAGTCCAGTATTGTATTGTATTACAAAAAGGAAATTTGACATTGTCCGAACAGGACTAAAAAAGTATGGAAGTTTTATCAACAAATTAAAAAAGTTTGGCTTTAACTGTTAACTATCTCTGTACATAACACTAAATTTGTCCTTATGAATTGTGAAACAAAATTTGTGCACATTATACAACTGGAGGCAATGAGGATACAAATATTGATATCATAATATAATGGATACTCACTTGTAAGTGCTGCTGAATGGTCAGTACCAGCTGACAATAATTTATATTTCTGTTCTGGTAGATTTATAAGTTGTGGTGAGGTAGCACACTGTGCATCTCCAGTACCTAACTGTCCATCAGATCCAGCACCAAATGAATACAATCTACCTGCTTTTGTACATACTATAGTGTGAGATCTACCACAAGCTACCAAATTTACACCTTCTTGCTTCAAAGCTACAATGATAGAAAATATTTGAAACAACATAAATAGGTAGAACATAAGATAGGTTCCCAACTGTTACAGTATTAGTGAAGTGTACAAATGAGTGTGCAAGATGACAGTTCATTTCATAGCGTTCTACTTTCTGTCCAATTTTTCTGTGTGGTCAGTCCATGTACAGTACAGATGTCATTTATTTATCATATTCGCATCAACACACTTGCTTCGCATTTTTTCATCAAGGTCTTTACCGTGCCCTACTTTGTTATAAATATACTGCCTCCAACAGTTTGATTTAAGGAATAACCACCCTCTAGGACGAGTATACTACTACATATATCACAAGACTTTGTCCAGTTTCATGACATATACACATGAGCGATAGTGATGTACTGTATGTATATTACCAGATACACACAGTCACAGTTACACTTCTATTCTATTTTACTTATACAAAATGTAACAAGCCATGGCGCATAGCACAGTCCCCAATAGTCAGCGAATTTAAGATATATAGTTTTGTTTATAGTAATATAGCTGGAATATAACCATGTCAGGAATATGTTTATGATGATTGTTTAACATTAAAATGATAGACATTTGTATCTGATCATCAAACCAGTACTTGTCCACATTGAGAGATATTGCTCTGGAAAAGCCTTAATTAAACCAAAATCAGCCATTTTAAATATATGTATATATCTATAACATGATGTATAATGAATATATAAAATTTGAACATAATCAGTCAAGCATGTCAGAGATATGGCTCTAGAAACCCATTAAAACAAAATGGCCGCCAGTCAGCCATTTTAAATCCGATCTGAAAAATAAAATGACGTGCATCAGGAGCTCATAATGTCTAATGTATGTTATAAGTTTGAACAAAATCCATCCATAAATGCCAGAAATATCTGATAATTTTTTAGCACAAAATGGCCACCATTCGGCCATTTTAATAGAATCGTCAAAGAAATACATCAGTATATCAATGGCATGATGTATAATGAATATTAAAAATTTGAACATAATCAGTCAAAGCAAGTCAGAGATATGGCCCTAGAAGCCCATTCATTAAAACAAAATGGCCGCCAGTCAGCCATTTTGATTCCAATCTAAAAAATAATATGACGTGCATCAGGAACCCGTAATGTCTAATGTATGTACCAAGTTTGAACAAAATCCATCTATAAATGCCAAAAATGCTTGATATTTGATGATTTTTTAGCACAAAAATGGCCACCATTCGACCATTTTTACTATGATCGTCAAACCAATATATTTGTATATCTATGAAATGATGTACTGTAGAATATTTTTTTGTCGCTTGCAATTTATAAACTCTCAAAGCATGTCAGAGATATGGCTCTAGAAGCCCATTCATTGAAACAAAATGGGCGCCAGTCAGCCCTTTTGAATCTTATCTGAAAAACATAATGATGTTCATCAAGGTCCTACAATGTCCAATGTATATACTAAGTTTGAACAAAAACCATCTGTAAACAGCCGAGAAATACTTAATTTTGATGATTTTTCAGTACAAAAATGGCTGCCATTCGGCTATTTTGAATGGGATCGTGAAACAAATTGATGTGCATATGTATAATATCATGTATGATGTATGTGTAAAGTTTGATTGTGATTGGTCCAGGTATTTCTAAGATACAGGTCCGAACGCACGCACGTCTGGACGCACAGAGATCAAAACACAAGTCCTCATCTTCGGACTGCATCCGAACGAGGACTAATAAATTACACTGTTACTAGGGTAACAGTAGGTCAATAATATACAAACAAGGATCTTTTTTACTCAAGTGGTCTTAAAGTACACTTTGTCAATCATGTTACTATGGTAACAAAATACATTGATGACATCCGTGGTTACACAGTAATGACCTTTGCTTTGGTATAGAAGTACAGCAATAATTTAAACCTTCCTGAATGCAAACCTAATCCTTCAGAGAAATGCATATAATAATGAATTTACAAGTACCTAATACAGCCAGACAATGTGTTACACTAATAGAATAAATTGCATTGTGACCATAATAAAACCAATCCTTTTAAAATGGTATTCAAGTTTTAATTGTTTGTGTGACACGAATAAATAGAACGACCATGTTGGTGATGTGGCAATCATATACTGAAATCATTGAGATTTTATTTGATTTACACCAAGATTTATGGAGTTACCGGTATATACAATACATATAAAGAAAAGGTCCCCTAAAATATAACATTTTTGAGATATAAAAGAGAGTTGCTCTAATTGCAATTCTATTCAAACTAGCAGGGATTGTGTGCACGCTGGTGCACACATCGCAAAAGTGAAACTGTATTGGATGGACAGAGAGTGTGTAAATGTCTACACTGGTAGCTACTACATGTATGTGATTCAAACACATGAATTTTGCATTTGCCATCCAGTACCAACAGTTACTGGTATGTCCAGAAGCAGCGGCTTTTCATATCTAACAGTATCAAAGTCAAAACACTAGCGATATTCTTAGGAATATAACAATGTTGCAATGGAAACTGCATGATAGCCCTTTCACCTTTCCTTAGTCCCCACTATAACTACCACAGATTTACACATATTCACATGTTTTCAAGTGCAACATAGAGTTCCATAAAATCTCAACATATTAACTTTAAGAATCTTTGTTTTTAACATGGAATATACACACCAAGCTAGGAGGTAATTAATGCATACATGTACATGTACTTACATTTGACACATCCAGGTTTAGTTGTTGGTTTCATATGACCAAGTCCAAGCTGTCCCCAATCATTGGAACCAAAGGTGTACAAACGACCAGACTCTGTCAAATTATTACATACAGGAATTAGGAATAAAAAGTACACAGTATACAGACTGTGATTGATTAATTAAGACTTGAGTGTTGATGGTTAGTGACCATGGTCAACCATGTTTTGTTGAGAGACTTGACCATGATCAATGATCATGGTAGTTGATGGTCAGTGACCTGTTATATTATTTCTCCAGATCATTTTACCATTTGCCTTGTATTATATAATATCTTGAGTTAATTAACTTTCAATTTGTTCTGCTTCACCAATTACAAGTACACATATATTTATATCCATTACATGAATTACCTCTATTCAGCAGATTATGGTTGTAACATATACAAACTGAGCTCTTGTTATCTCTCAAGTTGTCATAATTAATGAAGAAAATGTATGGAAATACGACTTTCCATCCCGATTCTGAGGCAAAACTTTATATTTTTTCTCTACAATTACATTGTTAATTAATGATGTTCAGTTTGATTGAGGGACTGGGTGTTCATAGGAACTAAATATTCCTGAAAGTATCTGTGTCTCACACCAGGAAAAATTCCAGTGACATTTTCACTGGATAAAAAGTTGACAATTTTGATTGAGTTAAGACAATTTTTTATGTCGAGATGCCTTTCATACAAATCTTTTTGTACTTCTCAAATTACTTATAAACATATGAAATTAGACAGAGGGTTCTCCAAACCCGCCTATTCAAATAGTTCATACCAACCATAGACTCCGGTCAGTCAAAATGACTATTTTGAACTGTAGGCATTAATCAGCGATTCTGCCAAAGATGGAGAGATAGAATCTAGGTCAGGGGAAACCCAATGACCCCAAGATTCTTTTCCCTTACATCACGAACCACGTGACCGGGGCCATATGGCGGCGCCCATACAGCTGGCTAATCACTCTGGTTCCTTTCTCTCTGCCTCGTGGACTTAAACCAACGCTACGGAAAGAGTGGGGTGGTTGGGAGGGACCCGGAGTCTATGGTGGGTATGAATTATGTGAATAGCCGGGTTCGGAGAACCCTCTGCCTAAATTCACTACGTTCAATTATCCACCATAGACTCTGGTCAGTCAAAATGACTATTTTGAACTGTAGGCAGAGTCAGATGCCGATAGGTGGCAGGTTTTCCGAGCAATCACAGTCCAGGATGAAACACTCTACAGTAATCATTCAACACCATAGTTAAGACTCAAAAAGGGTGGTGTCTTACCTTGCCTGTGCTGTCCCCGGAGCAAGAAGCCAAAATGCTGATACGGTGACAGGGTTCGGTGTGCCCGAGAAAAGTAGACCCCAACCCAATTCTGGTGGTAGTAAGCTTTCGAAGTAAAGAGCAAAACAGTGATGCATGAGGGCATAGGCCGCAAAGCGGGACCTGGGAGCTTCCAAGGGAGTGCTGATGGTAGAGAAATCTGTCTGCAAAAAATGCTGAGACTGACTTGTTGCTTATGCACAGGGACCCTTGTGGTCGTTCGGGCTGGGTCAGCAAACCAAGACTGACCTGCTACGACAGGACCCTCCTCAATGGATTCGGTATCTCTTAGGTGGTAGTTGATAAAGAGGTTCTGCGTTCTCCAGAAGCCTGCCCTCCGTGTGTGCTCGAAGGGCGCCTGACGCTAGCACTAGTGAGTTAGCAATCACACAGACCTCATGCGCTCGTACTCTGCAAGCTCTGTGTCAAGGCAGTTAAAGTATTATAGACCTCTAATACAGTCGCAGTAAACCACCTGGTTATGGAAGTTGGGGAGGCCCACCTATCCTGCCTGCCCGGGCCGTAACACAAAGATATGTGCTTGGCATCCTGTCCTGAATCCTTAGTACGGTTTGGTAGCAACTCCGTGCTCGAACCGGAGAGAAAAGCAATTTCTCCTGACCCTCTGGGCCGTAAAAATTTGACAGCCGGGGGATGATGATCAGGTGAGGATCGTGTCCTGGATTTGGTTCTTGGCGAGAAACCCCATTTGTGTCTTTAGCACAACTTGATTGGACAATGCCCCCAGCTCTGGCCGACGCCTACCTGAAGCGGGGGCCAGTAGGAAGGATTTTTCACGTCGAAAATTTGAGTGGTGCTGATTAGAGAGGCTCAAAGGGCGTCTGCCAGACTGTTCCTCACCCCTGGAAGGTGGTGTGCGGTTAGCTCCACATTGTATTCCAGGCACCAAAGGAGGATTTGCTCCACTAGGACTGACAACGATGGGGAACACGTCCCCCACTCCTTCTTGAAGGAGACCACCGCTGCATTGCCTGTGTGGAGCAGGACTCTGTGGTCTCAAACTACGGGTAGAAAGTGTGGTAGTGCTAAGTACACTGCTTTCAGTTTGAGCCGGTTGATATGGTTGTCCCGAAACTAATGTGGGGCCATATTTTTGGGCTTGTTGGACCAATAGATGAGCTCCCCAACCCTGGGGGGAGGTATCTGTTACCAAAGTCATACCTGCGGCAAGTGGATCCAAGGAGGCCCCCTGTCCGGGGTTGGCCAGTGACGACAACCAGGGCAGGGCTTCCTTCACTTGGTCCAAGATCAAACCCCGCCTATCTAGTTCCCATAGGAGAGCTCGGCGTTGTAACAACAAGCATTATACCGGGCGGCTGCGTAGTGCGGCCTGGGGAACCACCCTTCGAACCGAGGTCATCATTCCGATGATCCGCATTAGTTCTCGGAGGGACACTGAGGGAACGCTGACTAGACATTCGGCTTGGCTGCTTAGCGCTAAGAAACACGCTTGAAATAGTTATACCAAGCTTACCTCTATGTCAAACTCCATGCCCAGGAACATCAACTGCGCGTTGGGGCGAGATAGGACTTGTCGATTTACTAAAGAGCCCAACTGGTGAAGTAAATCCTGTGTTAGCTTGACGTGTTTGGCTGATAACCCCTTGTCCGGGTTGTGTAGTAACCGGTCGTCTAGGTACGGATTGAGGTGTACCAACATTTGGTGAAGCAGCAGCACTACCTGTTTCATCACCCTGGTGAACACGTAGGGCGCTGTGCTTAACCCAAAGGGGAGGCACCCAAAATTCGAATACTTGGACCAGCTGGGCGATTCGAAGGAGATGGCAACTCACTTTAACCGATTTTTACTGGACGCAGAACCTTGCTGTGAAAATGCGAGCAACGTGGTCAGTCTCATCGATTTTGATAGCTCTGAAAAAAAAATCTCAGGCCTCTGAACTCCAGTAAAAAACGCACGCCTTCAAGGCAAAGATCCCGAACCTTGCACGCAGCCACGGATGCAGATTCTATGCTGGTAAATTCTTAATATAACCACTGCGCAGTCGACTCGAAAGCGAACAGACCAAAAAACGGCAGCGAGTCATGGAGCTGTCATTACATCTATTCATTTCTAAATACGTAGATCAAGCATAAAATGAAGACGACATGCATGAGGGAAGCGAAAAATTTTGTGAAAAATGCTACACACAAAGGGGAAAACGACACGAGGGTAAAAATGACAAGAAAAACTTATCCTACCAGCTACAATGTTGCATGCCGCCCAGCGGCAACAACCCAAGCTAGAAACCCGGACAGGAAAAAAGCAAGTGATCCAGGCAGAGCTCGCTAGATCTCATCTCCATTCGAGGATGAGAGAAAATCAGAGTGATTAGCCAGCCGTATGGGCGCCGCCATATGGCCTCGGTCACGTGGTTGGTGACGTAAGCGAAAAGAATCTTTGGGTCATGGGGCTTCTCCTGACCTAGATTCTATCTCTCCGTCATTGACAGAATCGCTGATTAATGCCTACAGTTCAAAATAGTCATTTTGACTGACTGGAGTCTATGGTGGGTAATTGAACGTAGTGAATAATTATATAGACTTGTTCTACTTTCTTGGGAACAATGTATTGATGTGTTAATTTGTAATTTGCATAACAATGTATGAATCATAAGAAGGATACTACATTCCAAGACATCCACATACCATCACAACAAAGCACAATGAAATGAAAGAGGCATTGTAGTCTCACAATAACCCTAGGTGAAATATAGTGGTCTCTGATTAAAGGTCATCATTATTATGGAATTTGTTACCTGTTATGATGGCTGAGTGTTCATCCCCACAGGATATGTGCATGGCTTTGTCATTTCGAATCCAAAATTTACTTGGTAAATTATCTGCAAACCTACTCTTGCCAAACGTGAAAATGGCTCCAGTTTCTATAAAAGTAAAACATACAATGGAATTAATTATTTTTTTATATAAATGTTGTTAGTACATTTTTGCATCATAAATATAATTGATAAATATGAATAGATAAAGGTGGCACAGTTGTCGCACAACATTTTAATTTACTAGTGTAAACAAAGAAATGTTTTTTCAATTAATTTCAACTGACTTCATTACATTATGTTGTTCATTGTAACTGCAATGTCCAGATATGAAATCACTAAATCACAAAAAATTGTTTTGATTAGTAAAGTAGTTGACACTATGTGAATGCAAGCATCATTTGTCCCAGTGATAGTGAGGGGTATCGTAAAACTCAGGTCTGAGTATTATCTCAGAGCATGTATTTACCAGTTTCATTGAAACCTGTTGAATGGTACATGCAACATACAATTGAACATGCTGTAAATTGGCTAACTAATATGCAAATTAATTAATATACAAGCATGTATTTCAACTAACAACTAATCAGGTCTGAGCATTAGCCCAGAGCATCTATATACAAAGTTTAATTGAAATCTGATAATTGGTTCTTGAGATAACAGAAGAACAGACTGAGCTGCCACCATGGAAAAGACTTGCAAGTTTATTGCGCTAATAAATAAAATAAATTTTGTTTGTTATCATCATGAAAGCTGTTAAAACTCTTTATGTACTCATTTTACATCAATGCTACTGACAATAATGCTACTGATAATAATAATACTGTTTTTCAAAAACAGATTATCTCTAACATCTCAGCTATGCAAGTAAAAGAACATTTTAACAATTATAATATAATGAGATATCTGAAAAAGAAATTAGGCTAGCCATTAAAAAACTAAAGAGTAAAAAATCATCAGGATACATGTATGATGGTTATTGCCCAGAATTGCTTAAATACAGTTCAGACTTCCTAATTCAGCCACTACACAAATTATTTAATATAATCCTGGATTTATCCAGATCTTTGGAATATTAGTATTATCTCTCATATCTTCAAAAAAAGAGAAAAAACTGACCCAGAAAATTATAGAGGAATAGCTGTTTCTAGTTGTGTAGGTAAAACTTTTTGTAGTATAATTAACACTAGAATTAGTCAATATTCTGAAGATAATAACATTATAAACAATAACCAGGCAGGATTCCGTAAGGGATATCGTACTACAGATCAGATATTTGTATTGAAAACTATTGTCAACAAATACTTGAAATCAAAGGGAAAATTGTACTCATGTTTCATAGACTTTCGAAAAGCATTCAATAAAATCTGGAGACAGGGGCTTTTCTATAAATTACTCAATAATGGTATAAATGGTAAAATCTATAACATCATTAAAAATATGTATCAAAATACAAAATCATGCATTCGCTTCAAAAATAAAATAACACCCATATTTGAAACAAGGGTTGTGTCATTAGCCCAATGTTTTTTAATTTGTTTGTTAATGACTTAAATAATTCACTAGAAGATGAATCATTAGGTCCAGTTACATTGAATAACTGTAAAATTAGTTCCCTATTCTATGCAGATGATCTAGTGATAATATCTGAAACAAAAAACGGTCTACAAAAAGCACTAAACAGTTTAGAAGTTTATTGTCATAAATGGAAACTCCAGGTAAATCTGACAAAAACAAAAGTTGTTATTTTCAGACGAGGAACACTGAAAAAGACAGAAAAATTCTATTATAATGAACAAAATATTACCTGTGTAGATATGTGCAACTACCTGGGTATAAATATAAAGTCAAATGGCTGCTACACTGAAGCCAAACAAAATTTAGCAGATAAAGCAGCCCGAGCAATGTATGCATTGAAACAGTTCCTACCACCATTAACAAATTGTAGAACTTTCATCCATCTTTTTAAAAGGTGTATTCAACCAATATTATTGTACGGGTCTGAAATCTGGGGTCATGAAATTCAAGATTACAACAAATGGGACAAAACAATAACAGAAAAAACACAATTGAATTTTTACAAACAACTACTAGGACTGAACAAATTTGTGACAAACATTGCATGCAGAGCTGAAGTAGGAGAATTCCCACTCTTAGTAGATATTCAGATCAATTTAATAAAATACTGGACTCGTATCAGTAAATTACCAGCCAACAATATCACAAAACAAGCATACCTTGAACAAAGGAAATCCAATTTACAATGGTACTCTTCAATACAAAAAATTATGAACAACATGAACTGTTCACGAGAACAGAATGATTTGTTAACAAAGCATATACAGAAAATTGGCAAAGTTGTCAAACAAAAAT